GGATTTGTGGGGTTGCCGATGCATGAGAGTTAGGATACATATGTTGTACGTTGCTATAATCATAAGAATTCGATGCATGAAAATTATTTTGCATTGGCCCTTGCGCATAATTAGATGCATGATTGATAAAACTAGGGCTAGCCGATACATTATACTCATTAAGCGATCTAGCAACAACATATGAATTATTTGCATCTATAAAGGGGATTTGAGTATTCATATTACCTTCGTAGATTGCGAACCCTATATGACGATTTCTTTGTAGCAAGAACGGGCCGGAGACCGTTTGAAGCTTCGTCCCCAGCGAAGTCGTCAAAAAGTGTGTTCGCACATGAACACGTTACCGTGTACCCTCGACGCCGGGGGTGATGTAGCGCAGCTCACGTCGAAGGAGACCCGGCCGGAAGCGCGGTACGCAGGCAATCCGGCGGATGCTTTTGAGGACCAGAAACCCCACACGCCCGGGAGGGACCCCGTCAGGGCGCGCGGCGGCTATGGGATGCCCTAGGTAGACCTGATCACCCCTAGGGTCTCGAGGTTCGCCGCCTTGCAACAAGAAGAGCAGACGAAGAACGAGGAAGAAGAAGAACTAGGGTTAAGGAGAAAAGATAAAAGATAAAAAGTAGTAGATTAATTTGTTCGATTGTGTGTTGTTGTTCAATCGGCCGTCACCCCTTAGGTATATAAAAGGCGGATGGACTTCTCGGGCAAGGAAAGGTTAGAATTCACGTTCAAAACCCTAGTTTGGCTCAAACTCAGAATCCAACTTTCCAAAACGGTTCGGTTTGCAACTTGCGGTAGGAAAATCCAAAACCCGGACAAACATCCACAGAGTGTCCGGCCATCCTCGGAGGATGATCATTCCCGGAGTGTCTGGCCATCCTGATGCAACCGCACATTTTCGGCTCTAACTTTTGTATACGAACTCCGATTGAGATGTTTTTATATCAAAATCAACCGTTTCAACGAGACGCAAAATTTCATGTTGAAACTTTTTTCCATTTGAAGCCATCTTAATTGGGTTTCAAGCCATTCTTTAATCTGGTGTCAACGTGAGCATCTCTGAATTTGTCATAAATCCGAGCTCCGTTTTAGACCATCTTCATATCCATCTTGATCTTCTTGAAGAGAGCCGTCTCATAGTGACTTTCAATAATATGTTCGATTTAATCTTGACATAGCTTCAAGCTACTCTTTATAATCGTGTCACTTTTGAGCGTCAACACACTGTTTCTTTTCTCCAGGTTTGCTCAAATTCTTCTGGTATTGTATCACGCGCGCACTGTTTCTTTTCTCCAGGTTTGTTGCGCCGTATTCGCACCGTCGTTCGTCCGTCGTCTACCGCGGCGACGTCAGCGGTCAGCCGGCGGGATCGGTTTCGTCCGTGCATGGGCAGCATTGAGATGCAAGATACTACGGTCGCCGACTACCACCGCTCTACCGGCGATGCCTGAAGTCTGAACGGTGGTGGTTTCGTTGTACTGAGTTTTCAGATGGTCTGATCGTCTAATCAGATGACTGGTGCAGTAAGATCTTGTCCAAGTGACGGGTGAAAACCCACCTCGTCATTTCACATTTCTTTCAGATGATTGATAGTAAAAAAAGGTGCTACTGCTCTAGTAGGAGTAGTATCTTCCAGTTCGGTGTGTAACTCGAGCACGCAACGCCTAGCTGGCCGGTTCGTGCCGACGCCCCGGCCGACAGTTCCAGCCAACGATGATCCAGTAGAAAGTTTCAGAATCCAGACCACTCCCAATCAAGACAGCCAATTACTGATTCAAAAGGGGTTACGGTCACTAACAGCGCTGATGCTTCACCGCGGGCAAAACAGAGCGATCGACGCGGTAATATATTCAACCTAGGACACTGTAACTAGTACTCCCTCCGTAAACTAATATAAGAGTGTTTAGATTACTATTTAGTGATCTAAACACTTTTATATTAGTTTACAGAGGGAGTACATAGGATTAGGTAAGTGACAGGGTCCTGCCTGGAAGTGTAAATTTCAACCTCGGGCGCTCAGAGAGATGAGGGCAGCGGTGAGGTCAGCGAATGATTATTGTTGAACTGCGAAGCCAGCGGTTTCACAAATACGGCCATGTCGCCATATCTAAGTTTCAGTTTCAACTAGGTGGTACGCGCAGTGTTACCAGTGCCACACAGTGTTTTCAGTTGGGATTAGGTAGTGGGAGCATTGGACTTGGCTCACTGATTAAACTAGTCCAAATGTGGCTTTCGGATTGAGGGAATTTGGTGGGATTTTCCGTCCTTCCCCCTCCACGATGGATGGATCGATTGATTGACCTGTCGGTCGAGTTTGCTGGGGGGTGGGATTGCGTGAAATGACCCAATGACACACTGCTGCTGTAAGCCCCGCGTAACTTGGTGCTGATGGGCACCTTAATATGTTTCTTGCGACGACATTATCTACTTATAAGACTACAAAATTTGTTTATTCCGGGAAGACTTTAGAGGCGAAAGGGAGGGTTAGTATTTTCTCCAGAGAAGATGAGTGCTTTTTGTTGCTGTTGAGGAAAATCGATGGGTGAAAATGGAAGACTCAACTGTTTCTCTGTTTGAGGCAAGCAAAGCCTGAACTTTTTTTTGAGGTGAAGGAAAGCCTGAACTTGTTGTGAAGCTTTGATTTCACGGGCCATGGTGTCGGTGTGGGCCTCTTAAGATGGTCAGACAGGGCAGGTATGGGCGGGCCGCCGCCTGTACAGCCCATGCATGGTAGACGAAAATATGGTAAAATACCCATAACCAGGACTTGTCTCAAAAAAAAAACTAGGACAATTTGGTAGGGAAAATATGAGGTGCTTAAAAATATGAGGTGCTCTCACACATCAAATGCCCCCGTTTTAAAAAATATATTAAACACTCCCATGCTAAAACTTAAAAATACAAATAAAAAATTGAAAATCTTTGAAAAACAATTGTGAAGGACATATCTCTACAATGTCTAGAAATTATAAATGAATAGTAGAGACACACATGGAAAAACAAAGAAGAAGAAGATAAAGCCGCAATCTGGAATTTCAGGCCTCAACACAGAGTGCCCGTCGCCAGGCTAAGGCACGTTATATGTTTCTTTCTTTCAGCGACATTATTTACAAAGCTTAATTGTTTTAGGAAGACTGTGGAAGGGGAAATGAGGGGTAATTTTGGTTGAAAAGAAAACTGTGCCAGATAGATGAGTGCATTTTGTTGTAGTTGAAGGAAATGGATGGGTGAAAATGGTTGCCTGAATTGTCTTTCTTTCTCAGCTGAACCAAGGAAAGCTGTCGAGGGAGATAGGCAAGTGCTTTTTCTTGCTGCAGTTGAGGGAAACAACTTTGGTTAAAGAAGATTGCGCCACAGAGATGAGTGGCTTTTGTTTCTGTTAAGGAAAATCGGTGGGTCGAATTGGAATCCTGAACTGTTTTTCTTTTTTAGGCAGGGAAGCCTAAACTTGCTAACAAGTACTCCATCCGTTCCAAAATATTTGTCTTTCTAGAGATTTTAAATGAACTACCATATACGGATGTATATAGACATATTTTAGAGTGTAGATTCATTCATTTTGCTTCGTATGTAGTCACTTGTTGAAATCTCTAGAAAGACAAATATTTAGGAACGGAGGGAGTAGTATGTTTTGGATTCATGGGCCACAAAGATGGGCGTATGACCGTAAGGGCAAATCGATCGCTGCCTGTAGAGCCCAAACTCGCTGTAGGACCACGTGTCCGTATGTTTCCCTTAACTGAAACAAAATTATTTGCTTGTTTCGGTGACATTATCTTTTATCTACAAAGCTTAATTGTTTTAAGAATACTCTGGAAGGGGAGATGATTGCTTTTTGTTGCTGTTGAGAGAAATGGATGGGTGAAAATGGCAGGCTGGATTGTTTATCTTTTTGAATTTTGAGTTGAAGCAAGGAAAGCCTTTGTTGCTGTTGAGGGAAATAGACGAGTGCTTTTTGTTGCTGGTGTTGAAGGAAACATTTATTTTTGTTAAAGAAGATTGCGCCACATAGATGAGTGCTTTTTGTTTCTGTTGAGGGAAATCGATGGCTGGAAATGGAAGCCTGAACTGCTGTTTTCCTTTCTTTTTCAGGCAGGGAAAAGGCCTGAACTTGCGAAGAAGCAATGTTTTGGTTTCATGGGCCATAATGCGGGCCCCTTGAGATGTGCACGTATGACCGTATGGCCCTGATTGGCACACGCGGAATACCCAGCCCATAACTAAGACAATTTTTGGTTTGGCATTCCACATTTCCAAAGATACGAAGTGGCCCAGCTTCAAAGCCGCACGTGACGAGAATTCTCGGTCGCCGGCGGCCAGGAAAGGACATCTGGGAACGACCCCGCGCGCGCTTTTAATGTACTCCGCGACCTGTGAAGCCGACGCGACGACAAAGCGGCCAGCAGGATTGCAGAGGAAGCCAGGGCCACACACACCACCACCACCACCACCACCACCACGACGACGACGACACCGACACCACCAGGACGATCCTTTTCACCATCGTCGTGTTCCTGCGTCGCAGCTCGTCTCAAGCCCTGCCTGCCCCTCTCAGGTTCAGGTTCAGCGCGCACTGCTTGCACGTCGTTGTGACCGGCGGCCACACGGACACGGCCACTGGTGCAGCACAGCTCTGCACGCCCAACGAACCTGCAGCGGACATGTGTTCTGGACAAGTTACCCGGAGCTGAGTCTCCCTTTGGAGACCTTTGCTTCAGAAAATGGAAAGGGCCCCCTTACTTGCTTTCCCTTGTACTGGAGGCGCCTCTCGTACTCAAAGCACCAAGCTGTTGTTGGTGCTAAGCAAAATCGAGGCACGTGATCCAGCCGACGCGTGACATTCAGAGAAGCGTAAAAAAAATGCAGATATAGCCGGCGTGTTAGTGCTACGTATCTCGGAATTTGACGGCCATAATATAAGAAGTATCAGCCGGCTTGCACGTCCCAATCCGAGCGTAGCGTATACAGTCCCAGCCGTGTAGTCGAGGCACGAGAGGATGCAGAGGCCGGTGAGCTCCCCGTCGCTGCCCGCTTTCGAGGACGAGGGGGAGGACCTGGAGGCCAAGCCGGAGAAGGCGCCCGCCGTCCGGCCGTATGCGGCGACGGAGCGGTCCGTCCACCTCGTGCCGCTCATCGTCCTGCTCTGCTTCGTCGTCCTCTTCATCTGCTCCCACGTCCCCTCCCCCTCTGGTACCCGCGTCGCGCGTGTGTGTGATACATTCATCAAACGTCTTGATACAGCTGCGCTGCTGATTCTGAGCTCTGCATTATGCTGCGCTTTTTTCTTTTTGGTCTGCAGATATGTCGAGCTTCGGAGGGAAGGCCGGGGGACGGAAGCCCAAGCTGCTCTGACGCGGACCAAGGAAGGAGACGATCATGACAAGAGCTCAAGGACTGAGGACGCGATATGCCAAAAAGATGTGAACGTTTTCTGCTTTCTTTCTTGATCTCAGCTGTGTTAGGCAGTAAGCTGTACTGATCTCGCTGCACCGATAATAAAACACATACAGAACGCAATAGTGCTGCTCTGATGATTCTCATCATGTTGGTTTCATGGTCCGGTGCAATTTGGCCACTCATAATTGTGTAGTGAACAAACCTCTCACCATTTCCTCGCTGAAGAGGGTATATAATGCAGCCTAGTTCTATCACCGTGGTCGACAAATGTCCGGTGTCTGATGTTGCCACGTGGTCGAACTTCCACTCGGCCACTCTTCACAGCACAGCACAACAAATTAAAACAAAGCATAAAAGAAGTTGTTTTCAGCAAAAGAATGAAAGCATGCCAGCAGCACTCTACCGAGTGAACTCTTGCACGCCCACACTTCTGGCTCCAAAAAAAACTTAATTGGGCAACACAAGTATTCCTATCAGTGGTGGAATTATCCATTCAGTCCATTTGGGCCACAAAAAATAACTGGGCTTTTGACACATTCACTGATCTATCAGTCTTGTAAAAACTCTGGAGAAGAAAAAAAACACATCAGAGAGGTGAATATCATACGCAAACATTGTGACACTGCAAGTGCATGATAATATTGTTTGATTAATTAAAATGGCTGTTACAAATTCCAAACTCTTTCGGTCCCGATAAATTTCAACCTTCAAACAGGTGAATTACAATACAGCAACCACAACGTTGCAGCGTGAATTAAACAACCCATCTCATGTCTATTTACATTCATGTATCAGCGAGATCATCATAGTATCAATCCCTGCGCAGGTTCCGGTTTCTTAGGAAGAGCAGCAGCGGGTGGCGGTGGAGACGCATCACTGGAATCCTCTACTGTAATGGGGAAAACTGCAGCGGTAGATATGGGGATATCTTCAGGGTTTTCAGAGACATGTATCTTTGTGATTTCACCATCCAAATCCCTGGGCTTTTCATGAGCGTCCGACATGTCAGCTTGTGCATACCCGGCCGCTACGGTCTTGCCCTCCTGCTCAGTGGCTATTTTCTCCTTTGCCTTTGCCCCGACGTCGTTCGCGGTATTCGCAACCTTACTGAAGGCACCAGTTACCCATGCAGCTCCAGTAAGGACATACCTGTTTTTCATGATGGCAGATCCAGCAGTGGAGACACCCTGTTCAGCAGCTGCAAGTGCTGACCTTGTCTTCTCGGAGACTAGATATTTCTGATCCATTTCCTTTACTTTATCGTTTACAACTGAAGTACCGACGCTGATCTTCTCACTCAGACCAATTCTCTTGTCAAAGGAAGATACTCGAGCAGTCGCAGTTGATGTGAGCTGATGCTTCTCATCCAAAGCTTTTGCTTTGTCGAGTGCATCCCTACCAAGAATGAACCCCTTGGCCAGCATGGTCCCAACGATGTCCTCTGCCTTCTCAAGAGCAGAGGACTTTGCATCTTTGGGCTGTGGATGCAAAGCAATGTAATGTAAGGAATTCCATTACCACCAGACAAAGACCATACTACAGACATGGATATTACACATCTCTAACCATACCTCTAGAGCAGCTAAAACATCAGCTGGTAGCTCATAATAAGTGGCTGGTGTTACGATGACAGCCATATCGACTATTGTGGCACCCTGCAACAGCAATAAAACCAGGCGCATCAGATATTCATCATAGGAGTAGTTCCAGCAAGTATAAAGCAATTAAGAAGCAGAAATAGACACAATTCAGTGACACGCTATGTATTTGCAAACAGATATCTATCTATCCAAAAGATATTGAGTTAGTGTTGAAATTTCCGTTGGGCAATGATTAGGTAAACTTAAACATTCGAATAAGCAAGCATGTACACATTATTTACTTGAAAGAGTCAATGGAACCAAGCAATATCTTTTTACATCATACTGTTTAAGCTGAGATCATGGGTCACAACTTACATAACATGGTTCATATGAAAAATAACTATGTTTAGTACTCCCAATTGAACTGTAAAACGTCTTATATTTTGATACAGAGGTAATAACAAATACACAATTCATTCAGAAATATAGGGAAAGTTTTGTCTTGCTGTAGACCAGGTAAACAATATAAGTAGCTAAGTACTATATTAAACACATGCCGTAGAGCAGGTAAGCAACCTCACTTATCTCTAAAGTACTATATTCAACACATGCAACGTAAAGTTGGGCATTTATTAGGGACATAGAAGGAACAACACACTTATGTTGCACTGGAATATGAATTACGCCTTCTATATATATTCCAATGAATGGAGAATATTGGTGCATGCCATCAATGATGCGTAATTGCAGACAGCACATTTCACAAGCTCAAGCAACCATATATCCTTGGGGGGAAAGCAGGTTTTTTTTCAGAGATAGGAGGTAAAAAAGGTACCGTCAGAAGCATGGCTGTCTCAGCTCCTTGCTTATCTTTAAAAGTAATGTAGGCAACTTGAGACAGCTCGTCGCCACTGCAAAGTATTTAAAAGGTTAATGAGATTGATAGTACACAGTGGACCACAAGCATAATGAAGATCGTATTACTAACCTTTGCATTTCAACATGCACAAGGTCACCAGAAAAGGAAAAGAATTCCTTTACATCTCTTAGTGCTGCTTTTAGCGACAAATTGCTCACCATGACTGTGCTAAGCGTGCTTGTCTTCATCAAAGAAATAGAAGTATAAAAAGGAACAATTAATACTCCATCTCATAGATAGTATGTTGTTCTAGGCTATATGAGAAGAAGCTCAGCAACACACACTTGTACAGTATCTGAAAAACTAATAAGTAATGCAGACTTCTATGCACTGTCACATAAATAACACCGATGGCCTAAATCGATAACTTGTGCCTTATCTTGTTTCTAGTAAGGCATTACACAATATCTAATGGGATTTCCTAATCAACATTACACAACCTCAGTTAAAAAAGAAAGAACTTACCACCTCCACAGCTCCGATCTATGTTAGAAAATGATGAATTTGTTCCCAATGTCTTAGGATTATTTTAAATCCGGTACCCCAAACTAATATTTTTGGACAAGATTGGCCACTAACTGTTCATATCAAATCGCTGGAAACATATGCAGCCACTTTATGCATCAAGCTTAATATTTCAACCTCAGATGTTCATAAAGTGATTTATTCATGCTAAAAACATCATCTCCTTCGAAGGTTTGCATGTTTAAACTGTGCCATCATGCTAGGTTTTATGCACAACAACTATTCAATTTGTATGCAGATCAGTATGTGCCGCTCGTAATGAACATGTATATAGCACTCACAGTCACCGCCAAGACCTTTTTTCCGTGACAGGCATTGTATGACCCCAACGATATTTTACTAGTCAGTGCAGCTAGCATATCAAATAAAATAAAATAGCTAAACTGTAAACTGACGTAATCAGCGCTCTTTTGCTATTATGAAATATAGAGGAGAAAGAAAGCTCAATATTCACCATGCACTGATTGTTACATAACATTCTTGGTGTTCACAATGCAATAAAAAGAAGTAATAAGATCATTTTTTTTGCACCTAATACTTCAGCACAAGCAAGCAGGCATAAACAGATAACATGGGACAGGATATTAACCAAGTATACACGCTGGTTAAACCACTCACTGCAGACATCATAATATCAAACAAAAGTTTGCCAAAAAAAAAGGGTTACGGAAGGCTGTTCATGGCTCACAAATCACAACACTTGGCCACAGTAACAATAACTAGATAAATCGACGGCGCTGGCACCTAAGTGATTTGAGTACCCTATCAGCATTCTACATGAGTGGGCGGCAGATTCAGCCCGCCGGCCATCCCACATTCAGGCAGGTAGAATGCCGAGCGAAACCGGACGAGATTTCACTAGAATCGATTGGTAAGAAACGGCTGCCTCCGATACACTATCCCACATTACATTCCTAAGGGACACCAATTTCTGGAGCCAAACTCTCTACTTTCCCCATCTTTGGCAGGACAAATTGACAAAAAGAAAATTCTATCCAGGACTGCGTATGCCCAAATCTAGAACCCCCCCAAACCAAAACCCCTGCTTCTAAAGTCTAACACGCAAACCAAGACCAGATCAACAGAGCCAAGAAGCACTCGGGCCGGAAACGGCGCTGCCGCCGACGGCCGACAGAGAGAGGGGGAACCGGGAGAGCTCACCGCCATGGCCGCGATGCGACGCCGAGATCTCCGAACCCTAACCGCTGACTTGAATCGGGAAACGGGAAGAAAAATATGCGAGAAATGGATCCGCCGTGTCCAGCGGGCGGGATTTATAGGAGGGGGGAGAAGGCGGAGACGCGGAGTGGAGTGGAGCAGGCGCCGGTTCCTGCCGTCCAACTCCAGCAGTAGACGTGGAGGCGGTGACGTGGCGACGTGTGGGGGCGCGCAGGCTGCTGGGACCCCACCACGCTCCGGCCCTTTTACTTTGGGCCCTGCCTGTTGGAGTGTTGGGTCCAGTCCAGGGGCTCGCAGCCTCAGCGGCCTCGCCACCGGTTGCTCAAAAAAATTTAAAAAAGCCGACCTCGCCAACGAGAAAGCACAAATATTCCTCAAAAAGGAAAAAAAAAACCGACAAAGCACGGGCAAGGTAGGGAGGGGAAGCGAAGCAAGGAACCCAATAAAGCGAAGTTCGTAAAGGAAATCCCGTCAAAAAAACAAAGTTCGTAAAGGAAATACTGAGTTCAATAAACGACACGGATATGGTGTACACGGGTACGCGTACATCTTTTATGGATAGTACATCAAAAAAATAGCACTCTCTCTATTCCCATTCCTCTATGTAGTGCACATAGATTCAGACGCAAATACCAATGTGTGGGCTGGCACAACAATTTGGACGAGAATGCCCTGCCTCGGTCTGTACCAGCACCAAAGTGCCCACCTCATAAGAGCAACTCTAGCAGACCCCACATCTGCCTCCGATCCGCAAAATAACCGTCGAAAAACGGGTATGGGCCGAAAAGCCTGCCTGACTAGACCAGGCATTCTGTCTCGACCCGCAAAAAATTTTGAAGGGCGCGGCAAATTCCCGACCCCAACCCAGGAAAACGCGGGTTTCCCCCTCGCGGCTGCGGTGCCCTGCATCACAGAGAAGCAGTTGGCGGGAGGGACATTTCAGCCCCGTGCTCTTTTCCCCCCTCCTTCCGCCGCCTGCCCGCCCTTGCTTCCGCCCGCCCGCCGTCGGTGATTCCGGCCATATCTACGGGCGGAAGCGCGCCGCGGGGCCGCCCACACCCTCCCGCGCCGAGCGGCTGCACCGCTCCTCCGGATCCGGCGAGAAGAGCCGCCACCCGTCGCCGCCGCCGACGGGGATCGACCACCATCGAGCGCACCCCCTCGTCGCCGCCCGTGATCACCCGCCACCGATTAGTCCCTTCTTTGTGATTTTTGCGAGCTGTGTAGTAGATTGACGCGTCGGTGTGCGTGTAGATGGAGTTGACCCCGTGCGAGAGGTTCTTGCTATCCGATTCGTCCGATTCGAACGACTCGGATGTGGAGACCATGCTTGCTACCTTTCGGCGGCAAACATTAGTCATGGCACTTGCTGTGAAGGAGCATGAAGACGAGCACCGGAAGAGGAGACGAGGATCTACTTTCGGGCGTCTGTGCATTCCTCGGAATTGCCATCTTGGGAATGAGATGTTGATGCAAGACTATTTCACGGAGAATCCTACATATCCTCCACACCTCTTCCGGAGAAGGTACCGAATGCGCCGATCCCTTTTTGTGAAACTTGTTCAAGCTTGCGAGGCAAATTGTCGGTATTTTACTCAAAGAAGGAATGTCGCATGCTTAAAAGGATTTAGCGCATATCAAAAAATCTCCGCAGCTATGCGGGTGATTGCATATGGCGTTCCGGTTGACTATGCCGATGAGTATCTTCACATTGGTGAAGATAGCACAATTGAGTCTGTGCGTAGATTTGCGAAAGTGATCATCCGTGTCTTCGGTCCTGAGTATTTTCGGGCACCCAATGAAGATGACACAAAAAAATTGATGGCAACAAATGAGAGGAGAGGTTGACCTGGCATGCTAGATAGCATTGATTGTATGCATTGGAATTGGAAAATTTGCCCCAAGGCTTTGCAAGGAATGTATTGTGGCAAGTCTCGTGATGCAACAATTGTGCTAGAGGACGTAGCATCCAATGATTTATAGATTTGGCATTGCTTTTTTGGTATGTCGGACATTCTCAATGATATTAATGTGTTGCAACGGTCTCATTTGTTTGCTAGACTTGCTAGTGGTGATGCTCCTACTTGCAACTACATTTATCAATGGGTATGAATACACAAGGGGGTACTATCTTGCAGATGGTATATACCCTTCTTGGTGCACATTTTTCAAGAGCATCAAAGAATCCAAAACAAAAAAACAATGTGAATTTGCAAGGGTGCAAGAGACAGCCTGAAAAGACATTGAAAGAGCATTCAGTGTTTTGCAATCTAGATTTGCCATTGTCCGTGGTCCTGCTCGTTTTTGGGATAAGAAAACCTTGAAGAACATCATGACATGTTGTGTTATCCTGCACAATATGATTATTAAAGATGAGAGAGGAATGAACTTAGAATTCTTTTACGACAATGTGGGTAGTCGTGTCAAACTAGTTAGAGACCTAAATCGCATTATAGCTTTTCTTCGGATATACAAGGAGATTGAAAATGCAGACACACACTTTCAACGTCAGGAAGATCTCATTGAGCATCATTGGCAAAGGGCTAGACGGTGACTAATTTTTGTATTCATTTGTGTTTGTATTCATGACAAGTTTGTATTGCATTATTTAAGTTTGCTACGGTGATTTGAATAATTATTTGTAATGCGGATGGTTATTTGTATTATGTTAGATTTGAATAATTCAGTTTATTTTCAATTGTTGAATTATGTTGGGTTTGGTATTTGCAGGCTGATGATATGTAGGATGCAGCTGCGCAAAGAGCAGAACCCGCATAGCCGACCCGTAAAAAAGCATATTCCGTGAATATTTTTTTTACGGATCCGTTGGGGGTCTGCATCTGTGCCAGCCTGCGCCGGCCCGCAAAAACTGTTTTGCGCGAACTGCAAACGCGTTTTGCGGGCCGGCGGGATGCGGGGTCTGATAGAGTTGCTCTAAGCACAGAAAAATGGAGGAACAAAGACTCGTAGATGCTCAGCCTGTGACCTTGCGTCCGGCCGCGGACGGGGGCTCAGACCAGGATTGTGGTGATGTCGGCCGCCGTGGGGACGCTCTTTGCGGACGTGGTGACGCAAGCCGCCGACCGCCGTGGAGACGCTCTTTGCGGACGTGGTGATGCAGGCCTCCGACTGCTGGCCGCGGATGTGGTGACGCCGTTCACCGGACAAGGAGGTCGGGGCGCCAACCGCCAGCCGCGGACGTAGGGGTGGCAGCCAGGGTCGCGGTGACGCCGGCCGCTTGCTGTGGACGTCGGGCTGCCGCCCGCAGATGTGGGATGCGGGCCACAGACGCGGGACGCCGGCGACCGATCAAGCGAGGAAGTACTCGCATATGAAGTTTCACGAAGAAATCACATCCGTGGTAATCTGAACAAAAATGATAAAATCAAAACTATATTTAAAAACACTTTTTAATGAATAGTATGGGTGCCTTTGTATTTTCTTCACTAAAATACCATGTGTGTCAATATATCATGAAACTTCACATGTAAGTACAGTGATTGACTAACTTTCATACCGCGAAATTTCAGAAATTTTATATTTTTTCTAGTACTTTTTATGAATTTACTATTGACATGGATGTGCGTGCATCCATGTTCATCTTTGTATTTTCGGCTCAATAAAGGACTAGTGGAACATTTTTCTTTGGGATGTGCCCAACGTCATTCGACCGATCCAAGGAAAGACCGGTCGTCACATTCATGAAATTGTGTGCATATGATGAAAAGTGCGTACGATTTTCGTATTGACGCGATCTCACTCATCCGTGGAATTCAACCAACGGCTGCTGAGGATTGTTGTAGTAGATCGTAAAAAATTCATAGTAGATGTAGTACGACTCTTCCTTCACGTCGCCTTCACTCTCTTCTCGCTCTCTCTTGTGACCTTTGTCTCCTCTTATCGCGACCCACTCTCTTCTTTTATGACTCCGGTGAGCTAGGAACCGTTGCCACACCATTGTGCGCTCGTAATTATAAGTGTAAAAGTGTTGGGAAATATAGCATGTAATTTAAAAAAAAATACGCTCACGCAAGATTTATCGAGAAGATGCATAGCAACGAGAGGGGAAGAGTGTATTCACGTATCCTCGTAGACCAAAAGCAAAAGCGTTAGTTTAAGTTTTGCACACGTTCAGCTCGATGACGTCCCTCGAACTCTTGATGCAGCAAAGTGTCGAGGAAGAGTTTCGTCAGCACGACGGCGTGCTGACGATGATGATGAAGTGATCCGCGCCATGTCCGATTCAGACTCCTTCCATGGGGAGATGGGGGCGCCACCTCTTGTGGGCTGCCTTGTCTCTCCCCTATGGCCCATATCTTCCCCCGGGGTTTCGATAACACCCCCCCTCCGGTACTCCGATACGTACCCGATACATTTTGGAACACTTCCGGTGTATGAATACCATCGTTCAATATATCAATCTTTACCTCTTGGCCATTTTGTGACTCCTCGTCATGTCTGTGATCTCATTCGGGACTCCGAACAATCTTCGGTCACCAAAACACATAACTCATAATACAAATTGCCATCGAAAATTAAGCATGCGTACCCTACGGGTTCGAGAACTATGTAGACATGACCGAGACACCTCTCCGGTCAATAACCAACAGAGGAACTTGGATGCTCATATTGGTTCCCACATATTCTACGAAGATCTTTATCGGTTAAACCGTAATGACAACATGCGTCATTCCCTTTGTCATCGGTATGTAACTTGCCCGAGATTCGATCGCCAGTATCTTCATACCTAGTTCAATCTTGTTACGGGCAAGTCTCTTTACTCGTTCCGTAATGCATCATCCCGTAACTAACTCATTAGTCACATTACTTGCAAGGCTTATCATGATGTGCATTACCGAGAGGGTCCAGAGATACCTCTCTGATACTCAGAGTGACAAATCCTATTCTCGATCTATGCCAACCCAACAAACACCTTTGAAGATACCTGTAGAACATCTTTATAATCACCTAGTTACGTTGTGACATTT